ATGTCTCAAAGCTGTCCAAGCTGCCCTCATTTGCCCAGTTCATCACAACTGGGGACATTGAGAGATGAATATCTCCTGTTACTCTTTTTATTTGGACATAGTGCAAGACAAAAGTGACTAAGTGCAAATGAATTCTAGAGCACAAAGAAATTCCATGGGAAACCTGGTGATACCTGCGTAGAGCCTAAGCAGCAGTATTGCGCCAGTTTTGCTATGTGCAGGGCTTGCGATATGCTGACATGGGAGAAAGCCGGGCGGAAGGTGAGAGGAGTCTTTGCAGCCTTTGTAACTATTCTGTAATTATTTCCAACTAAAAAGCTTCAGAATAAACTAACAACAGAGAAGGAAGAGCCTGAATCAATGCTACAGAGACGGGTTACCAACCGCGTCCAGTATTGTCAGCATAAAGTTTGACGCTGTGGGCTGTGATTCTTTATTAATAAACACCAGTTATTGGCAGGGAAGAAGGCTGCGGAACTCCCAATTTCCTGTCTGTCTGTCTGTCTGTCTGTATTTGCTTGTTCTTTATCATCAACAGAATTAACATTGGAAGGGTGGCAGACAACCTCTACCCTGAGAACCTTACATTCTACTGGACACCCCTGCTGCCCTGGGAAAGGCCAATACTAACCCTTGAACTTGTGCCTGAGGGTGTGACCTGCTCTGAATTCCTGTGTCCAGAAGCATTAAGCAGCTTCTCCTCTGCCTCTCCATGTCACGTGACACCCCACACTTACAGAGTGGTCTTCAGCTTGCAGTCACTTTGCAGGTCTGAATCTTGCCTGCTGTCAATTGAGAATGGGCAGATTCATGTATTCTACCACAAGCTGCCACTGACCAATGGCAATACTACTGTTGCTTTGTGTGTGTTAAATAGAATACAGTAGGTACCTGCTCATATGTACAAAAACACCTTGAGAGCACACATGCCCAGTCTGAAAACAGTTATTAAAATGTTTCATGTTGAGATGAGGATGTGGCTCAGTGGTTATGGCACTTGCCTGGCATGTACAAGGTCATGGGTTTGATTACCAGCAAAACAACACACACACACACACACACACACACACACACACACACACACACACA